CTACTTTGTGTTTTTCAGTTATTTGTTGGAATGATATAGGATTTGTATCCTATACTATAAAGCCAAAGTACCTAAAATTCAATAAAATATTAGATTGCTTAGATTATTTTCTAAAACTTTTAAGCTTACTGGGATGTTTTAAAAAATATTATATAAAAAAAGCATTCACGTTATATTCAAATAATTGTTACGGTTATGTTCCCCTCACTTTAAAAAATATCAAACTTAAGTCTATGGAGAAAGTTGTCAACACTTCATAAAAACACCCACTACAATATTAAAAATGCTTTTTTAGCCATATTTTAAACTAAAAGTAACATTCGTTTCAAATCAGACAATCTTCCTTAAAGTTTTCTTTTAATAAAGAGAATTACTGTTATAAAGTTTTAATAGTGAGATGCAATGAAACAAAAGTCTTGAAACAATGTATTGTGATTCAATAAAACAGACAATTCATAACTAAAATACAGCCCAATGAACCGTTCCTTTTAGATTTTTAGGCATTCAATGATATCTGTGATTCAATGATTACTCCTGGTATTATATATATATATATACCTTTTTGCTCAATATCTTTCCAGATTAAAAAATTTATGTGTTTAATATAATAGTGAAAGGGAAATATATCTTGGAAGAAAAAGATTAGCAACAGAACGACAAAGCCTGCTTCAAGACCAATTTGAAGCAAGACGATCACTTAATCGACAAATGTATCTGTGTTCCTCGCATGAAAGTCTTGAACAAATAAGACTGCAATCGAAGAAACGTAGGAATAAATTAACTAATTAATTAAACAATTCATTTTTCCCCGAGAATTAATTTTTCTACATGAAGATAAATATTTTATTTGTATAGATTATTAAAACAACTAAGGGAAGTAATCACTCGTAAATTTGTTAACTTAAGGTGATTTACCTCCCTTTCCACTACAGATGGGACAAGAAGTATATAAATAAATACACAGTGATAATTATTATATGGTTTGATGATAATATATCATTTGGTTTTGATATATTTTAATTTACAGAAGGTATCTCATTTTCAAAGCGGAAAATTAGACACCCAGTAAAAACATTTTTTTTAAAAATGCTCTAAAAATTTATGACATTTTTTCGAAAAAAAAAAAAAAATGATAAATATTATTTCCAGATACTAAGCAGAATTGGAAATATTTTCGATTAAAAATGTTCTTTACTTTTGTAAACACTGACCATAGAAAATGGCATAATATGTAATGGGGATATAATATTGGCTCCACAAATGCCGAGAAGGAACATATTAAAAGGAGTAAATGATGACGTGCATTGTGGCATAACAGCAACACAAAGAAGACTAAAGTTACAAGCCTGGTGATCAGGATATTCAAAAGATGTAGAGGAATATGTTAAGAGATGCCCAAAATGTGCGAAAATAAAAATAAATAAATAAAAATAAAAATTTAAAAAAAAACTTCAAGAAAACAAAAATTCACTCATGACCCAAGGAAGCAGAGCCATGTGTTAGGATCCACAATGATCGTGCACATATCAAAGATAGAGGATTGTTCTTAGTATTGTGGAATCATATTCAGGATGGCCAGAGGTTGTCAGAGTAAAAGACAGAAAAGCCACCACAATAAAGCAAGTACCAAGAACTATATTCTCAAGGAATGGAGTGTCCCAGACAATAGTCACCGACAATGCAACTGAATTTTGCGATGAGAACTTATGTGCGTGGTTAAAACAGACTGGATGCATCCCACAAAAGACACCATTGTATCACCCACAATCTAATGACATTGCAGAAAGAATGGTAGAAACGGTAAAAATGGGATTAAAAGCATTCTCACCGCTTAATAAAAACATAGAAGCGTATCTACTAAAAATGCTTCTCAGTTACAGATCCATTCCACATGCGGGAAGAGAACTGAACTCTTTGGCATTAATAGGAACACAAATCAGAGCCCCCATAACTATGTCCTTTGCAACGAAAGAAAAGGTATGGTATAGAAAGAATAAAGAGGCTAATCCAGAAGAAGCAAATTTCCTGATACAAAAAGGACACAACACGGCTATACTTGAGAAAAGGGGACAACATATACTGGCGCATGCAGATTAGTTCAGAAGCAGAAACGAACTGGATGACGTAGAAATGGAAGATCAAGAACAAGAAGAGACAGAAAGTTACAAAAGTGGAACAAAGCAGGATATGGAAGAAAGTGAGAATGAAAAGATAGACGAGTATATAAAGAGAAAACAAGACAAGAGAAAGAACAACACAATACGAAAATAATCAGGAATAGTAAAAGAAAAAACAAGGGTATACGACCTCTCTGATTCAGGGAGGTGTAGTATCGTATGCAAATTAGATTAACAATTATAAATAGAGAACAACTGGCGAACATAGGGGCTATGCTATGCCTAATAAACCCGGTTAATTGTACGACGACTACTACTACACAGAGTGATATGCGGAACAAAACCATTAAAATATTTTGCACTTGCCTTCCATGTAAAACTCCTTTTCTGATTATTAAAAAAATGCTTCCTCACTGAAAATGTTATTTCTTTAAATATCAATAATTTTCAAAACTATTTTATTACTCGATTTCATTAAGTGAGACCAAAAACTAGTAAATATTGTATTTTGACTAGAGTTTTTCTTACATTCTTTTACAATAATCAATTCCTATGACAGAATGTGTTTTATAGTTATCTTTTTAAAAGTAATCATTGTACAGTGTGACGTGCAGAGGTTTAGTAATGCCCAGGGACACCTTGATTGTATGCCCCTAAGACTCAAGTAGGTTGGGGGATATAGGGCCTAGTACTGAGAATGAAACCTGAAACAAACACTCGAATTAAATTAAACTAAAATTTTATTTCCCTCTTTGATTGGATGCAACAAAATAAAGAAAAGTAAATACTGTATAAAAAATAAATATTGATTTCTATTACGGGCCACCAATAATTTACAAATTGCTGCTGTCGTCGTAAGCCGGTAATACAAACAACAAATTACCTCACCCATTTCAATTCACTTTTGACTTGTATTGACTAAAAAACATAGATACACATGTTATAAAAATACATTTTTTTAATGTTTTTTTAATATAATTTGGATTTTTTTGGCATAGTCAAATCGACTAATGGTTAAAAAGTAACTATTTCCCATAAAATTTTCTTGATATTTTTAAATAGGTTTTTATTTTCACTTTTTTATTACAATGTCGAGTTTTCCGTCAAATTGATAGCGGCCATTGTGATTTTTTTTCCGATTCAAGGGAAAATTTGTTGTTTGTAGCCGTTTTAAACTTCATTAATTGAAAATTGTTGTTTTTCTTTGCAAAACGTAAATGAAATTTAAGCTTTCCTGTTTTTCTTATGTTTGTCATGAAAGTGAGAAGAATCATAAAAAAAAAAACAGTCCATAAATAATTAATATTTTTCGATAAGAAGACTTTTCGTAGGACTAAAGTCTTTTTTTTTATTTTTAGGTAAGATAAATTTGACGCTGGATTGTTTTTCTCCGTCACTTATCACTTCAACCTTTCTGCACCCGCCGTCAACTTAAACTAAAAAAAAAGTTACTAAACACGCGTTAGTTTTTAGGCGAGCAGAACTGTTTTCAATACATGGAGTAAGGTTTCCTATAAAATTTCATATTTGAAGCAATCGTCTCCTTCCCACAGACAAAACAAAAATAAATGTGTTTTTACTTTAATAACTCATTATTTTTGTAAAAATATAAATAAAATTAAAGTAAAAATAAATAAAGTATAGGTCATTTTAAATGAATGTTTAAATTTTTGCATACCAAATTCGGATTTAACTCCCTTACATTGGACATTGATGTCTTGAACGAGACTCATATTCTGAATCTTCCTTGATATATGAAATTCATGCACTCAAAATGCGGTATTTAATTCAGTTATTTCTTATATGAAAATTAAAATTTAATTCAAAGTTTGAGACCATTAAAAAGCCTACTTTACAAATTCTAAAATCTTGTATTAAATTGATCTAGGTTTTTTTCTTTAAAAACAAAATTAATCAAACTTTATGATGGAACTTCAAGAAATTTTGTAATACCGTCAAATTCAAATAAGAAACGAAGAACGGAGAAATTTAAGTAGGAGCGTATTTGTTCTTTTATTTCAAATGCATCCACCTTTCATAAATGCTCATTGAATGATGAATCAAAATACGTAGCAAATAAGTGATTGCATTGAAAGATTGTTTGAAACTCTAAAGTGGATTAAAATTAAAACTAAAAGTAATTAGTAAAGTAAAGTTTATTAAAAATGATTTTCTGTTGAATGAATTGAACACTAACGCCGTTTAAAATATTTTAAAGGAGTTTATTGACACGTACGTGTGTCATGTTGCGCATTAAAAAGTAATGTAAATAGAACTGAGATTCTTCTAAATAAATTTTATAGCAATTTAATATTTAAAAATCAGAAACTTGTCAGAAACAGTAACTTATAAAAATACCAAGCCCCTTTCTTTTATTAAGTCAGTTGTAACTTGTACGTAATGCAATATACGGCTTTTTAAAGCGAATGTCGTATGAATTTCACTGTCGTTATCATTCTAGAACACGTTAGTGTTTGAAATTTGAAACTATAAAATGTATAAAAGAAGTAAGATTGTTTGTTAAACCATACAATGGTAATTCATTGTTTTTAATGTTCTAAATATGCAAGCTAAGTCATTACTGACCTGTTGTTAACGACACGTCGTCAAGCGATCTGTTTCCAAGATGCACGATCGTTAAATCTAGATAAAAGCAGTAGACGTCGTTGCAAAGAAGAAAAAAAAGAAGCTTTGATATTTTATAAAGGTAAAAAAAAAAAAAAAACTGTCATACATGAACTTGAAAGAAAGTAGTTGTCGCTTGCATAGATTTTTTCCATGTCACTGGTTGGTTGCCGTGGGACACCTACTCTACCTCCGTGGTCACCAACCCACGTTTTGATTTATTGTGAGGACAACAGTTAACCGTGGTCACCAGAACTTATGAAGTCCTTACACGTGTACGACAAAAAAGACAAACTGATGGAGTCTCTTTGGTACAGATCCTTAAAAATCGCCGCTGTTGTGGCAAATTACTGGTAAGAATACGCTTTCTAAGAAACCTTTTGTTTTTTCTTTTAATTATCATTTTGCCGCCCCATAATCGATTTCTCCCTGTTTTCTTGTGAAAACCCCAGTGTTTACTAGTTACACTTTGAGTTTAAGAACCTATGTTGACTTATTTTCTCAAGCGTCATAATGCAAATAATCCTTAATTTAAAAACATTTTTGACATTTGTTTATTTTTAACAGCCTGAAAAAGAAAATAAACAAATAGTCATAGATTTTATTTAAAAGAACTTAGAGTTGAAACGAGAACCACTTAACTTATACAATTTGATTTTTAAATTTTATTTTTAACTAACCGAGATGGAAAAATAATTAAGGTTAATTTCCTATTCTGGATTCACCTCTCTTTACACGTTTTACAGCATTTATTTATTTTTTTATAAAAAATACACCGTTGAAGAGGGGAAAATAAAAACGAACTGACCTGAGCCTGCCTATCATAATGAATAAAAAAAAATACTGTTTATTTTTTAATTTCTCACTCATATGATAAAAAAGCTGAACGTAAAACTACTGAAGTGTGAAGTGAAACGTTATTTGTTTTTTTAAATAATCAGAAAAATACTTTATTCTTTAAAAAATTAGACTGAGAGGTTATTATTGTTCCTCACATACCAAACACCGTCGTAATAGGACCGAACCTTTTTTGACGATTTCAAATTAAATTGCAGAATAGAAAAAAATAAGTTTTAATACTTTGATTTAATTATTATTATTAATTAATCGTCTTTTTCTCTTTTTTTTTTGTATATTGTTATTGTTCGTGTCCTAGTGACAAATCTTCCTTAAAAAATGCGATTTTTTTTAACTATTAAATTTTTTTATTAATGCATGTTGTTTTTTGTTTTGTTTTTTCCAAATATCTTTAATTACTTTTCTAAATATTAAAAAAATATATATCAAAACATTAAGGTGTTGTTTCGGCCATTTGAAAGTTTTACTTATAAATTAAATCAACAGTCAACAACACCCATAAATTTCTGAAAATGCACAATAAAACAGCTTAAATTGTATGTAAAAAAAAAAATAAATAAATAAATAAAAAAATAAGTTTAGAAAAAACCTCAATGTTAATTTTTTTTATTATTTATTTTATCGTTAATTTAAAATAATGTAACATGTTTAGTTTAATAATGTGTAACTTAAACATTTTCTTTTTTTTTTACATATTGTACAATAAGCTATTTATTTTAAATTTAAAACAATTTTATTTCCTAAAAGTTTAGCAGCATTATTGCTCTAAAGTCAAGTGCAGTATTTGTTTAAAAACTCCTAATAAAAAAATAACTTTCTCATAGTGCGATTAAGAATTCAGTTCAGTAAGTAAATTTGTGACATACTTTTTTACTTTTTTTTTTTTAAAAAAAAAAAAAAAAAAAAGACATTTCTTTCATGAACATTCATTATTTCTTTAAAAAGGCTTTTTAAATTTTCTTCCGGGTTTTGTTTTTCTTAAGATATTTCGGTGTTAGTGAAGTTTTTACGTTTCGAACGATTTTTACATACAAAACGCTTATTTATCTCCCTTACATTCCACTCAATTTTTTTAAACTAGCTTTATATTCCGAGCATTTCTTTTACAATTGAAAATCGTATAACTGAAATAAAAACGAAACAATACTATCCAAAAAGCATTGTTTTTTTTTCCGTAAGTAAAAAAAAAAAAAAAAAGGAATTTGTTTTCCGAGAAGAAAAATGGATACAGAACTATTTTTTTCACTGACTTTTTTAGTGTACATGGAAATTGGTAATTTGAGGCCAGTTAGCTCACAGCTGAGAAGCATGAGAAAAATTTTAAAAAATGTCTTTGTTTTAACTTCTAGGATCATTGTTTTTTGTTTGTTTTTTTTTTTTCTTTGAGTGGAAGAACTTTAAGTACGATAGAAATAGATTGGCTACTACCACGTTGATTCAGCAGTTTCTTTTTTATGCATTTTTTTTTTTTTTACATCGGAAGGCACAGAATATAAGATTAGTTTTTAAGAAATAAGGAAATAGGTAAATCAATGTTTGAAATGCAGAAATCGCTTGGAATTAACAATACTCATAAAAATTTTATAACACAATGCTTCATAAATTAAGAGTTGAATGTAGGGTGCACTTCAGGTTCAAAGCGTACCTTCCCATTTGTAGAAAAAAAAGCCTACACACACCTCTCTAAAATTTTATTAAAAACTAAAAGGCTATAATTTATCTCTACTGTTTGAAAATATTTTTTCTAATCAGCGAATATTGCGTGTTTTTTGGTGTTTTTTTTTTTCTAGTTCGGCAAGGCCGCATGTATTGTAAAAAAAATTTCGCTTAGGGATGGTTTACTTTCCTAATGCAATCAAAATTATGGTTTTTTGGGGTTGTTTTTTTTAATCTAGCCAAAAACTCCAACACTGATTCGTCGCACTGGGTTTTCGAATGTTACCCAATTCGCGACCTGAAGCCCTCAATCTTCAACGTTATTCTTGTGTTGTGATTTAATAAGCATTCATGTACCTCCACAGATTCGCGATACTAAGGTTTGATTTTTAAAAAAATGAATTTTATTTTAAAAATGAAAAATCGTTCTTGAAACTTTTAGTTTTTCAGCGCTATTAGCCCTCGTTCATCGCAATTTAATTCTTTTTATTAAAAAATCCCCCCAAAATAAAATTTAGTTTTCTGAAACTTTAATTAGAGGAATATTAGTTGAAGATCTGATTTGAAACAAATATTATTTAATTTCTCAGAAATGCATTTAACACTGTGGTAGCTGTTTAAGATGTTTTTTACATCTTCATGACAGATGGGTACTTATCCAATGTTTTCTGCAGTGGCTATATCTGTAAAAAAAAAAAAAAAAATACTAATAATAATTGAAAAATATAATGCACCGCATTTTTTATATCATTTTTAAGTGCTCAGCAATCTTAAAAATTTAGGAAAATATTCTCCATTTGTTTTATTAAATTTTAGAATACATACTTTGGCATTAAATTTTCTATATAGTTATCACTCGTATTTTCTGATAACGTTGTGTATGAACACCTATATCTACAAAAATCCTCATGTTTATTCACATACAAAAAAATTCAAAATTCTTTTAAAAAATATTTGTGTTTGATTATACACAGTATCACCTAACAGGGTCGAAGTAAAGCAGAAATTTAAGATTTGAAACTTTATAAATTATTGTAATTAAAATTCTAAAAAAAAATAGAAACCATTCTTGTAAAAATTCATTATTCATCGAAAAAATCTTTTTAAGACAATAAGGTCCTTAATATATAATTCATAAAAGCCATTAAAAGCTTTTCTAATTAATGTATTAGTTTTATTGGATTGTTTTTTATTTTACAATTCAGAGCAGAATTTCTGTTTTACAGAAAAGGAATGTTGCTTTTAGCTAATATAAATATTAAAGGGTGAAAGTTTAATTTCTCTTAATTTCAGAACATTAAATAAGTGGCAGGGGTAACAGATGTATAAAAAAAAATTAAAAAAACTATTTTCACCAAGATTTTCTTAAAAAAAAATCATTTAATTCATTTGTGAATAAGTCCTGGAAGCTTCATTAAATTCCCACAATTATTTGATTTTTTGCAAGGATTTCCATATCTGTGTTTTTCACTTCAAAAAACTCACTAAAATTATCTAATTATCTTGTACTAAGCTTTGGTCCTCCCCAGTTGACACACAAAAAAAAAATTTAACCAAAATTTAAACCATTCTTAGAAAGGATTAAAAATAATCAAAAAGTACTTTGGTCTTTCCTCTTAATAATAAAGATTTTGATAAAACTTTTCAATTTTGGGGCTTTTTTTATTTTATTTTATTTTTTTTTTTTTTTTTAAGTGAATTAGTGGAGCTATATAGATTAGATGTGGCACAAGACCATAAGTATGGATCACCCAGTGAGGTTTAAACTCACTACTCTGTTGTAATTGACCTAGTGAGACAAGTTTGCTAACCATTGCACCACATCAAAGTGTACCCAAATTCTTGTTCTTGCTAACACACATATTGTCTTAACACAAAATGGCTTGCACCTGTCATTTTTAATCAAGCCTTAGTCTTTTACTCTTAATTCATGGTATGCAATTTATTTAACGACATGCAAGAAAAAAGTGATTTGTAAAATGCTCCTTCTTTCTCTAATTAATTTACTTTCATATATCAGTAAGCAGCACATAAATTTTGTTAGACCACAAATTTTTCTATTGTAAATTGATAAGAATGGCAAACAAAGTTTGAAAGGCACCCCATTAATTTATGTATCAGCTCTATTGTTCCTTCAAGAGAATACAACCAGACCAGATTTATGGTTTTGTAAGCTTCCCAGTCTTCACTTTCCAGTCTCAATAGTCCAAAAGTGTCTCCTCATCCTTGTGGGTGAGAAATTATCTTACACCCTACAACCCCCTTTCCCACAGATGAAATGTTACAAGCCTTTTGCTGCTCTATCACTATTTCTATGGAAAGTGCTCAAACGAGCCTCCTTAGTTCCACCAGTTCTAACATTCATGACTCAGACCTGCCACTCTACACAAACTGTAGCAGGCCACCCTTATTCCCTTCATATTTTCCATTTGAGCACCTTCTTCCTGTGAACCACTGCTTCAAGTTCACAAATATCCTTATAAACTGTGCCTCTTACACTCTAACTCTCTATCTCAAAAGGCTCTTGTGCCTTGTGCAGGGTGAACATCACAGGAAAAAAAATTGTATATATATATATATATACGCGCATGGGAGGTGAGAAAGGTGACTCTAAAGAGTTTATATTATGTAAGTATTACAAATTTTAGAAGACTGACATAGGGGTGGGGCATCAAATTCTTGTAACTCACAGCTGTGCTATACCATTTCCTTTCAGATTTGTTTGGATATTTACTAAGCTTCTGTTAGTTTAGTATAAAGTCATAATAATAGAGTGTTTATAAGGACAAATTATCCAAATGCTTGTCAGACTAAATAATGAGTCCATATAAAAATTTAT